GTACAGCTCATTTGGTAATGGGTTGAGGAAGTAGATGGTGCCTCTGGGAAAGTATAGCAAAATAAAAAGATGTCAGGGAGGAGGAGGAAAAGGGCTATATGTGGTTTGAATAAGCAATTGGCTATCCCATGCCAAAGAAGTTTTCCATTTCGCTGGGTAGGAGGTTTTAAAATGCCTGCCCAAAGAGCCAAGTGTCAGAGCAGGGGCATGGCTCCCTTAAACTCTTAAGAGCGTAACACCTGAAAAACTAGTTTTATGTCTCTAGGAGGATCAGTTATAGTAAGAAATATATGTGTTGACAGGTTAAGTCACTAGCTATAAAAATTTAGTAGGAAATCACTAATTAAATATTTATTTACTCTTAACGTTGTAAATTTCTCTACCTATTGGGAGAGATTCACTTGCATCTCAAGATGGTACAATTTGTTATAACATCTTGAAGTAAATTTAGGATTTGTCATAATTTCTAGTTTGTTTTTGATGTCTTCATTTTAGGAAGGAAGTGCAGGTAAAATCTCATGTTCTGCTACACTTAGTACTATTTCAGTCTGTTTTTCTGTGGCTCACCTGTGTGGGTTCTCTGGTGACTAATATTGTGGTTGAACACACACTGTACGCTCCTTCAGTAGGCGTACTAAATTGGGTTTCTGTCCTTCAAAGCCGTCAGTTTTATTTGCGCAAAACCCCTAGGCATGTAATGTATTTGAAATACAGAAATCTTTGTCAAGTTTTGCTGAAAATGAAGTAGTCTAAGATTATTGAAGGACTTGGATATTCTATGCCTTATTGTATTAACAAAAAAAAAAAGGTAAGCTTAAAAAAAAATACCCGCAGTATAAGTAAATATATTTTTTTTTAATAACACATAATTTTTTGAGATTTTTGTTTTAAATCCGCTTGAATGAAGTGTCCAGAGAAGTTATTTTAATGTAGCTTCAGCTACTGACTTTAAACTGAAATGACCTGAAGAAGAGAAATAAGAGTTTGTTTTTTCTTTGGAAGAAAGGCAGTTTACCTGTCAGGATATCAGCAAATACAAAGATATCAAGCAAATTGTTGTTCCAATTAATAACATAGTAAGCTATATTTTAGCATAAAAAACCTGTAACTTTTGGGTTTGGGAAAAATAAGTGTATTACTAACTGATCTTCAGCTCCAGTACCTTATATGTATGTTTGGAAGGAAAAGCTATCATGTTATCACAGGACACACATTTTCAAAACTTAACACTGTCTCTTACAGCTTGGCTTCAGTTTTTCCCTAGTTAGCTAATCAAGGCTGATAAAGAGTTGGAAATAGATTCTTGGTTTATTGTGGTCTGTTTTTTCTAATCCTACTTATCTTTCATTCAAACACTTGTATACTTGACAGATGTTAATGAAATGCTTCTTTTAAACCCAACAGATACTATTCTATGAAAATTATCAGAACAGAGATGAATCTGTTACCCATAAAAGACATTTTTTTATGACTTTGATCTCTGACAATTTGGCTTTAATCCTGGTCACCATACGCTGGCTTTCATTTGATGTTCAGTTTATGTCTGGCTTTTGTTCCAAACTCACAGATAATACTGAGTGCTATTCAGTCTGAAAAATTTCAGACTGTTTATGCTAGCAGGTGACATATGACATGATATTGGCAGAGATGTGCAATCCGAATGCTGGGAGAACTCAATTGTTTTAGTCTATTGATCTGGAATTTGTGTTCTCCTGTGCCGCCTTGCTTTTTCCCAAGTCTCTGAAGCAAAGTTGCTTGCTGCTATGAAGGACTATCTCTGCAGTGAAAAAGGTTATAGCGTTGTTAATTTTTGACATCTTTTGACTATAGGATGCCCTGGTTAAAAGTCATGAAGAGAGCTGTGTGGTATGGACTGGTGGGTCAGCTTCCCTGGGCTTCTGGCCCAGCTGGGAAGATCCCAGTTGTGTGCCTGACCCCGTGGGCAGCCAGGCTTCTCTGCTCCACTGCCTGGGATGTGCACAGGGCTTAACCTTGCCCTTTCTTCTCACAGCTTAAAATTTAAATGCATTTTCTTTACATATAATTGCAGATGATTACTTGAGTTTTTAATTTTTTTTTTCCGTTTAAAAATAGGTATTCTAAAGGTCACTTTTGAATATCTAGTTGAAATGGAATACAGAGAGAGTCTGGAATGGGGCTTGTTTCTTAGGGGTGTTGGGTTTGGGGGTTTTTGGTTGGTTTATTTTTTCATTGTTTTTGTTATTTTTTACATTGCATCGTGCACTGAGTGTGACACACTCAACTGTTGAACAACCAAGATTTTGTTCTAGAGTGTAAGAAAGCCTCATATATTTTTGACACTAGAAAAAAATCTGTCAGTGCAGTTTTTCCTAGGTACTGATATTTCAGTCTGTGTCCAAATATTTTGATCACTTTTTCAAAAAATGAATGATTCAAGAAATCTGGGTTATGTGTAATTGTTAGTCATTTTACAAAAACTGTTTTTGCTTTGATTCAAAAATCTTCATCTACTGTCAACATCCACTTTACTGAAATAACAAATAACCCAATAACTGCCATACAGATTCTTTTTTTTTTAATGATTATTGCGTGGAGCAGCATACATTCCTGTCTTGAGTATGCATTGATGTACAGTTTTATTTGTGATCAATTTTGTCCTTGGAGGTAAGCAGGCACTAACGCTTTTCATATCGAGTAGGAGGAATAATTCTAGATGTCGTCAGTGAACAAAATAGCAATATGCTCCTTGCTTGAGAAAACAGAGCAATTTATTCCCCATCGTATTAAGTTCCTGTACAGTGTCTGTAACACTGTTGTTCTGTATACTTTCCACTGAATGCTTTCCTCAGCATACTGAGAATTACCACTATTATGTCTCCCAGTTCACGTTTCTGGAAAGCCATGCTAGTGCTGGTTGGAGAGGCATTGATCTATTACGATGAGCAGACATAGATGTTAAGGTCATATGCAGTTCAAGAGTGAATCATAGGCCTTGATTCTATGCATCTCCACAAAGAAGATGATTTACTGTGTCACTGAAAATAAAAGAAGCCAATTTATAGGCTTTACTAAAAGTGCTTTTTAAGTTCATCTACTTTTGTTCTTGCATCTAAGTTACACAGGAGGGTAAAAATCTCTTGAGCTTCAGATATTTTCTACAGTATATTAACTTTTAAAATCTGTATTCCAAATGTGTACGTTGCAAATAAAACTATCTCTAAGAAGTACCGATTGGAAGGAATCACGCTAAGTTGATTTACGCAGAATTTAGGAAGAATAATGATATTTGCAGTGTTTCTGTATTTAAGTGTGTCTTTACTTTCTTCAAATTTCCTTTATTCTCATTTCTGCCTGGGATATTCTGCATGCTCCTTTTGGCTTTCCTGATCTGAATTTCAGATGTGGTCACATGCTGCATGGTGTGTTTGAAGCAGTATATAGTTAGTGCAGGTCAGCCCATTTGTGCCTTCATCCAAATAGTTCTGAAATCTAATATTCCCTGGATGGGTATCTCTTCTGTGTAAAGTGCTTGTTTAAAATAAGAATTAATTTGCCTCTCAGCCTGCCTGATAGAGCTGCGATGTGACAAATGGACCAAATGCTGGTGGTGTTCAAATGATGCATCTGTGTGAGTTTGCCCTCTGTGCACAGAGCAGTCAATTCTTCCTGACTGCTTTTTTACTCCTCACTTGTCTTTAATGTGTGGCCTCATGCCTTATCTATCTCTCACTATTCCAAGCCTGCCATGAGCACAGACCTGTTATTTTCCTGTCAGTCATGTCCTTTGTGCTTGTTGCTGAAGTCAGAGTGACTGGACATCATGACCCCATGAGATGGATGCAGTAACAACTTGCTGTTTGTGAAATGGGGATGTGGCATGGAGATGGGGTCAAAAGTGACTGCTGATTTTTGGATGCTTCATGTGAGATTAGCCCAGGGATTTTTTTCAGAGCGTGTAATGCTTCAGAGGGGAAAAGCACAAGTTTAGCACTTGGGGGAGGAGGGGGCAAAACTCTTTTCTAAGTAAGACCTTAGAAATAAGACAGGCACAAAAAAAAAGCAGACACACACGATTAGTGGAAAGAGAAAAAAAAAAAATGCCTTGTATTTCAGTGATGGTCTGGGAGCCAATTACCATGCTAGTGTTCAACTCTTTAAATAGAAGAGCCTTCTGTCCCCCCCTAGGCCCCCCCACTGTCTTCCTTGCAATCCCCTCCCACATTCACTGCATAGTTTCAAACTTCTGCAGTGAGTGAAGTGGGCATCTGACAGACACCAGCCTTCTTCACATATACGGTCTTGATTCATCCCTGGTGGGAGTCTGTAATGTTCACTGGATGTGGCAGATGTTCTACGGAGTGAACTATATCAGAAACTTAATAACTATAGCATAGGGCATATACTCAAAGGTTGATACCTTTTTAAGATGGAAGGGGCAGCTGAAAACAAGCTGAAAAACTGGATTTTTGAATTCTTAGACTCACAACTCTTAAACAACTTAATAACTTTCAGTATAGAGAGGGCTTCTGTCTGCAACTTCTTTGAACTTTAGTGAAAAACAAATTGAAAACAACAAACCTCATGTGGTGTTATCTGAGCTACGATGGTTTTGAACAATAAGAGTTAAAATAATCAAATCTACTGTCCCACAGCTGTTGGAGCTAAACAGCTTCCCAAGGCTAGCCATGATCTGTAATTCTCCCTGTGGATCACAACTGGAAAGAGATGTGACATATCACTGAATTAAAGTATTTGCTGGCAGCATGGCAGTAGAGAAGCTGACCTCTCTCAGAGCACATTCTTGCTGGTCTTAGTGTCCCAGGTCTCCCATCTCCAGCTGCTTAGGTGAAGGCTTTCATGAATATATGTGACTGGATATAGGCCAGATGGTTGTCCTGAATGCTGGGGCTGCTGCTGTGTGATACCAGGTCCACATCTGAGAGCTTCTGGTTTTTCAGATGGATCTTTGGATAATGCTGTAAAACCTTGTGTTTTTTCAATATTTTTTTTTTACCTAGGTCAGCCAAGCCTCCGAGAAGCAATCTCGATGTCCTGTATAACTAATGGGAGTACAGGAAGCAGGAAAACAAGCCACAGTTCATCTGTTTCTGTTGCCAGAAAAGAAACTCTTTCATCTGCTGCAAAAAGGTACTGACTTGTTATTAAAATTGAAATTTTTTTTTTTTTTGAAAAAACAAAGAGACTAAGAGTTTGATTTTTACCTCGGTGTGACCCTCAGCAGAGCTTCCTGAAGTCTAGTAAGGCACAAATAAACCATGTTGTTGGGCTGCTTTACAGCAAAGTTCTAAAAAAACTCATAAATGGAGACTATTTCTATAGTGTCCAGTGTCCAAAATGCATTCTCACTAGGGGACAGAATGGGCAAATGTATGTCCAATACAAATGGAAAATTTTTTCTTCTGGTATTCATCTGCATATTTTTTTTTTTTTTCCAAGGAAATTAAAGGACAAAACTGACTTCATTGTCTGAAGTGTAAATAGTAGGCAACAGCAAAATGGCTATGAAACAATAGTGAATTGTGTAAGACAGAAGTTACAGTTTTGTGCAGAAAGTCTTAACCCAAAATATGGCTACTTAGTCTTTATGAAGAATATCTGTATCAGATCTCAAATACGTAGAAATAACACTGTTTGAGTATTTGTAAATTAAATGAGCTAAGCACCAAACAGTAACTTTTTTTTCCCTCCATGTGATGATTTCAGCTGCATACAGTAAACAAAGCGTTTCTGTAACTACTTTCTTCTGTGGATCTGTTAGATAGTGATTGCATGGCTTCTTTAATCAGTAGGTTTTGCACCTATTTCTATTTGTCGGGAAGAGCAGGCTGCCAGATGTAGCCACAGGGCAGAGAATACTCTAATGTATAACTGTGGTGAATTACGTGAACAAATTCTTGGCCTCTGTAGAGTGCTCTGGTAACTCCAGTGGCTGATTTATCTTCTAGTGTGGATGTAAATACTGTGCTATACAACAAGACAGGGAAATTATATACTTCAGGGAATAAAAATGCTGCATGCAAATATAAACTGGATGAGAACAAACCAGAAAAAGCTTTAGTGCCCTTTGGAATTTGGAAAGCAAGGGTAATGCCCTGCTCTTCGCTCTTCATTGTGTACCATTGCCTGTCTCTCTTTTTGCTGATTCCTTATGTTTACTTTTCAACGATAGATCAGAAAGTGATCACTGTATGTCTATCTAGTGTGACAGGCACTAGGACAAAAGACATTCCTGCAGGAAGGTATTTCTTAGTTAGCACTTTTCCATTAATCTTACCCCTGTGGCTCTTGGCACTTTGATGAGAACCAGTCCGGTTCCCGTGGTGCTCAGCTTGTGTTTGCGGTGAATCACCTCTTTGATTCATTGGCGGCTCAACACTTGACTACAGAAGAAGAGCAGAGTGGAGTGGCCGGCGTCCCTTTCATCTGAGTTAAGGTCTTTAAAAGAAGACCTGAATAGGCCAAAAGAGGAAGACCTTAATATGCAGAGGGCGTCTCTCCCTAGGCCCCCAAATGACTGTCCAGGGGAGGTTTTGGTGCTTCTAGTGCAGCTGAAGATGTGCAACTCCCTTCTTCAAGGCTTGTTTTAGGAAGGCCTAAGTCCACGCCTTAGTTATCTTTCCAGCAGTTCCTTTTACTCTCTTGTCTTTATACATTCTTTCATGAGATTTGTGTGGTATTTGGAAGAAAATAGACTTGCCCTTTTGTGAAATTAGCAACTCAAGAAAGGTGAAAGAATGTCTACTCTCAGACTTTGTCCGTGTGTGTTTTTTAATGACAGCGAAACTGTTCAGTACCAAATAGTGTTCCTGGTAGAAACATAAGTGAATGTCAATTGTAGTTCCATTTCCTTAACAAAGTCAGGATAAACATGTCTATTTCTAACACTCCTGTCATGGTGAAGAGGAGGGAGGCCAGAGGAGAGTATCAGCTGGTTGTGGGATGCTTCACCTCAGCTTGTCCAGGCTTTTCTTCAGGCTGGAGGTTGAACTGGTGCAGCAGGTAGACATGGTCATCTGTTGATGTACAACTATGCTTTAGTTACCAAACAGATCCCATAGCCTGCCTTTAGTTTTTCATATTCTAAATTTGTGTAGCTGTACATCTAGTCACAAAAAACAGAAGGCCTGCGTGTGTCCAGACTGTTACTATTGTTGACGTTTAGTGTCTGTGTTTCATGCAGTCTTAATATTGTACATTTCTGGGGCTCTGGCCTCTGTAGACCTGCCATCTCTGAGAATTTCTTCTGTGAATAAACAGTTTCATTTCCTGGACTGTTTCATCCATGTTCTACCAACCTCAACACTGAGATCATGGAGGTAATCTGATGGCTCAGTAGCTGCACAGCAGCAGCACATCTCATTTCAACAAAGTTATGCTAAAATATCAGCTGTCACTAAATCAGAGCCCAGGAATGTACTGCAAACACAGGCAGATGATGTCCCATTGACAGAGATAAAGTCATGTACACATTGGGAAAATTTCAGCCCTACAGTCTGGCACTGACTTGCGATAGAGGTGTCGAAACACTTTACAACAAAAAACATGCTGCATACCTTGTGTATCACCAGAGCTGGAAACAGGTTTGTACTTTGTAGTGCAGATGACTGTCACAGAGACCCGTTTGATCGTTTTTCTTAGGACTAAACATTCTTCTGAAAACAGCTTCTAGTAAGAATAGTCTTCATGTTTCAGAGTGACCACCCTCCACAGTAGCTGCCAATGTGTTGTGGTCCAAAGGATGAGACATTGTGCTAAGTGAAATGAGAGCATCTGCAAAATTAGGACAGATAGCAATAACTCTCAGCTACTCTCATGTAGACTGAAGAAATGCCTCATTGAGTTGGGATTTGGAAAGAATTTTTGGATGCATTAAATGACTGCTTCCCGGAACAGCTAGTCTTTAGAAACCCACAAGAAAAGGTGCTGGGTTTGATTTGGTTTCAGTTGTTGCACAAGGCTTACTTGAAGAGGTATTAGTGGGAGATCCGCTCTGTAATAGCCAGTCATAATACAATTAAGCTGATGATTTTGGCAGAAGTGAGCAAACCAAATAAATTCAGCACAAAGATACTCAATACTCAGACTGCCATATGTCTACATAATTTGCTTTCAATATAAAATGGCAGTCAAAAAAAGAAGCCCACTTGCAACCTGGTGGTAGGTAAAAGCACTGTGTTGGAACCCAAGGTATACCTTGTGCTGCAACCCATAGAGAAACCAGAGTGGTCCAGTAATTCTTGGGACCCAACAGAAAAGTTATGGAGTGAACCTAACGACAAAGGTGTGAAATGGATAGTCTGCAGCTGGCGAGCTTGGTGAAGACATTGAAGAGATTCCTGCACTTAACCTGTGGTTTCTGGGAGATGGATCAGATGAGCTAAATGCGTTTGGGTAAGAACACAGAAAATATGAGAACAAATTGGTAAGTTAGATGATGTGCTGCTATCAGCAGGTGGTATTCGCCTGAGCCTGCTGGAGGAACGCAGAGGTGAATTGCAGGATTGCTGGTGTGTCATTATAAACAGGGTATTACAAAAAGTGTAGCGAAAGAGACTGCAGATAATGACCTCACTGATGAACTCTCTTATGCTACTGTCAGAGACAGAGCATGGTGCCAGGTGAGCTGTTGTTCTGACCAAGTAGGACCATTCTTTGTAGACTTGCAAGCTGGAGTTATGGAAGTCATTATGCTTATGTTTTCTCTCTCCTTCTTCCCTCATCTCTTTTACTATTATTAGACTGTATTTTGAAATCCCTAAGTAGAGGGAAAGGGAAAATTGGAAGCATGTCTTTCTGAAAGATGATTTCTTAAAAAAAACCAAAACAAAACAACCGAACAAGAAAAACAAAGAACCTCTGTCCTAGTAGATGGACTTGTGAGAAATCCTGTGTTTATGGGAGAGTGAATGCATAGGTCTATGAGTGTACCTGTCGGAGCAGAAATAGACGCACTTGTTTTCTTTAGTGAAAAGATTCTTTAGTGATAAGAGATTGTGAGAATTAATTTCACTGTACTGTATTTCTTGCCACAGACTGTGAAAAGATTAAGATTTTGTAGTGTGCTTTTGCATCCAGCAATGCAAGCTAAGTCTTTTGATTAAAAAATAATAATTTTTATGCTTCTAGTTAATTAAGGACTTCTGACTATAAATTATTAACTAAAACACCACAGTTCTTCAAGCTTTGTTCTCTATGATCACATACATGCCCTCAAGAAATGTGAAAGCTCTTTCTGTTTTGTTTTCATCTGTTTTTCTGAAAAGAAAATGTAACTTTGATGGATTATACTGACATTTTTAGCTAGTTAATATGGTTTACAGAAGAAATTCTGAGTGAACTTTATAAAAATATTTCAGGGTTCTTATTATTTTTCATGTTTTGACCTGTTCTTCAATGCTTGTTTGGAAGCATTTAGAAAAGTTGAACTCATATAAGAGTTGAGGGCTTTGTCTCGGTGGTAGATTATATACTTTAACTGAAATAACGAATGAAAGAAAAAGAGAATCTTATGAATGGTATGTTAAAATCAGGTGCCCATTTTTATTCATTTATTTTGAATAATGTCTTACTGTTTTTCTTTGGTTTTTTATGTGAAAGGTAAATCGAAACACAATTAAGATTGTACAAGGGCTCAGGGCGGAATTGGTGTAAGGGAATAGAAATCTGGATTCTCCCCTTCAGAAAGATATTTCTTTTTTACTTTGCAGATTATTTTGAACCTAAGAGAAAAATCTTTGGTTTTGCTTTTTAGCCAGTGTTTGTATCTAGCTTTGTTTGTTCACTGAGAAATTTATCTTGGAAGGTTTTTTTTGTTTTGTTTTTTTAAATCTTAAAAAAGAAACGGTCATGTACCACAGAATACTCTTCTCATTCAGGTCCTGCTGTTGTTTGTGTGATTCAATATATTGCAAAGCATGCTTTTTTATAGGAGAGCCTTTTAATTAATCTTTATGTTTACTTAGTGGACATTTTTTTAGGTTCTTAATGAATTTAAGGTTATTAATAACATGCATTTAAAGCTGTTTCAAATGTTAACCTAATAAATACAGCACTATGAAAATAAATATGTATTCTTAGCTGTTGTTTACTGAAGGCATTAAAGAAGTGACAAGACAGTCTGATGTTAGTCAACTACAGATCAAAACAGCGATGAGTTTTCAGGGATGATTTGCTTTGAACTTTGGTGCAGCCAGGGAGAGCCCAGGGACCAACAGCAGCATTTCACTCGTTTGGTGACAGCGCAAACATAAGCGATACCACACATGTCCAGAAAGAGGTATAGTTTCACAGAGAGGTATATCTTTTCACAGAGGGCATTTTCTCCCACCTTTTTAATTTATTTGCTTATTCTCTTTTTTTTTTTTTTTCCTCCTATGTTATACTTTATTTTACAGCGGTACAGAAAAAAAGAAGGAAAAACCTCCAGGACAGAAAGAAAAAAAAGAGGAATCTCATTCTAATGATCAAAGTCCACAAACTCAAGCATCACCTTCTCCCCAGCCCTCCTCACAGACTCTCCAAACACACAGGCAAACTCAAGAAAGCAAGAGTTCTGCTCCAGCTAAAAGGTTTTCACAGTGCACAGTACAGAACTAGAAAATTATTGTAATGATACTGAGTTCATATTTGACAACAAGTCATGTGAAATAGTTCCAATCTCATGATCAAGTTAATAAATGTTTGATATTTTTTGTGCTAGAGAAGATGCATTCAACATGCATTACAAAAGAGCAAATATGTAAAAATGCCATTTTGGAGTAGATTTTTAAGATTACAAAGATTTTATGTTCTCTGTGATTAAAATCCTGATATGGTAGATTACCTCTAATCAGTCATTATTATAAAATATTTAATGATGACTCTGACTTGATCCTTCTCAAAATACACTTCATAGGTTTTGTCTAGCATAGCTGAATTGTGGAGTGTATTTTGCACATGGCCATTTACTGTATCTCGTAACAGCATTTGTTAAATACTAGTATCATTGCAACTCTTCCTTCAGGAATTTTTCTTCTCAAATTATTCTATAAAGTATCTGCAGTTTGAAATATTTTTTGTGGCCCTTCCCTTTTGAATTCCTGCTAGGTTGCAGGGTGATTCACTTTACTTTTATTTTGATTCTTTACATGACTGAAGTTCTGGTTTTACACCCAAATCATAGAACTGCTTGACTTGAATGAACATAGAGATTTATTTAATATTGCCTCTAAGTTCCCTCTCATTTTACCTCTCATTTTAGTGGGAATCAGGCACAGAAAAAATGATACTTTTTTTTTTTTTAGAGGCTTTCTAAAATCAAGGAAATGGATTTTAAGATTTGGGTGATTACTTCTGAGTTTCAAAACTATGCAGATCACTCGATGTGGTTTCTTTTTCTTTTTTTTTTTTTTTTTGGTTCATTATCACTTTATTGTTTTGGAAGGTATGAAATTTTCTTTTACTGTTTGGCATTAAGGAGACTGAAACAAGCTCTTAAATGAATGAAATTTATTATTCTGAAATTTACCGTAGTTCACAAGATTATGTTGTCTTGCATTGCTCAAATTCACAGCTCTAATAAGTATTTTAAACTTTCACTTGACTGATGCATGTTATAACACTCCATAAAGGCTCTGTCTCCATGTCTTGCACAAACTCTTAAGTTGTCTGAAGCTGAACTTGTGGCCTGTTGTTCTCCTGCCTGGTATCTCACTGTAAAGGTGTTTGTCTGAAGTCTCACTTACTAATCTTTTGCAGTGTGGGGGGAAAAAATAAATGCATTTTTTTAGTCTCCTAGTGGTTTAACTTGATTTGATTAACTTGTTTGTCACAGGACCTTTCAGCCTCTTGAGGTGCTGTGGAAGGAGCTTGCCATTTCTAAGGTTGCAGTTCAGGACTTACTCCTGCAAAAAGCGTTTCTGACGGGATGAAGTATGATACTGTTAGCAGGACATATGCAGACCAAATCAGCTGGTTGAAGAATAATTTGGGCTAGCTGACTTTTGAACATCTTTTCCATGATTAAGATGCGTGTGAAACTAATGAACTAGTGACTGCAAAACTTGCAGGTTCCCATTAGTGTAAATTGGCTACAATAAGATTGCTGAAAAATTGTATCAGAATTTGTGGATTTAATCGTCTGTAGTATTGGGCCAAACCTAGCTTGCCTTGTTCATGCAAGAAGTTTGAGACATTTGTTTCAAAAAGATTAAAACCATTAATGTGGTTTAGAATGTGCTATCTGCAAAAAAACCATATGAAACTGTAATCTGATAGAACTGTTCTGCCTCAGAAATCAGTGTGTTAAAGCTGGTGAACAGTTAATAAGGGAAAAATTTTCTACTCTTCTTTGTTACCTTCTTAAGTGATTTTTTTTAAAAATAATTTATTGTTCAAGGCTAATATACTGTAGTCTCATTTTTTTTCCGCTTTTGTAATTCGTTAGCAATATAGTAATGAAGTGTAGAGTTATTTTGTTCAAGTCCTTATGTAAGAGCATTTAGAAGTGGAAAGGAATGGAAAAAACATTTGGCAACTGTCTTGCTCAATTGTTTTCATTCATCCAGTTAGAACTTTTTGACTAATCTTTTTTTCCTGTTTCATGCTTCAGCTTGAAGGAAGACCTAGCTCTGCTTTTGTCTCCTGCTGCTTGATCTGTCCATTGCATACCAGTTCCAGTTACTGTTAACTTATTATCTTGTCATTTTAAAATACATTTCTGTTTCTTCTAGCATAAAGAAATCCTTGACTGCCGAAAAACCTCACAGTGCTTGGGAGAGTTCAGATGACAGTCGTAAGAAGCTGCTGAGAGTAGCATCAACATCTAAATTAATATCAAAAGTGGCAAAGAATGCAGACAAGTATGTATCAGTTTGGTACATAAAAGCAAGTGAACTTCAGAGTCAAAATATTATAAAATTGCATCATTTTAGTGAACTTATTTATGTATATGCTAAGACCATTTGCATCTTTGTTTTTAGCAGGAGTAATTACTTGCATAACCTGCCAATATGGTGCTCCAGGTGCCTGTGGAATCTTAAAAATAGAATGTGAATGCAGGATTTGAGTGTAAATGTATTTTTTAATATTGCCCATTTGGGTTAGTGGAATTATTCACTATGAGTTAAGATTTATGGCTTAATGCCACCGTTGTGAAGCTTCCAACCAGTTTTTTCCTAATTAAAACTGATTCGAAAATGCAAGTGTATTTCCTTGAAGTTAATTTACTGGATTTGACGTAGTCAGTGTGTTTCTAAAGTAGACTGTAATAGTAAGAGTATACTTCCATGATTTTAGATACGTCTCTCAAATTAACTGTTTAACAGATTCCTGATTGCAGGTTCTAGATAATAGGCAGGGATCTTCTTTTCAGCTTCACCTTCAGTAGGTGATGTACTGTAGCCCATCATTCCTCTCCTGCTCTTCTTCAGCAGCATGTTTTCTCAGTTTGTGATCTCCAGTGGAGGCCTCACTGGGGGTCAATAGCACAGAGTAGTTACTTCTTCTGCTCCTGTCAGCACAGGGGCGAGACTTTGCTTTGTGCTGTAACTCCACCTTGTCGACCCCTCCTGTGAGCCACTTCTTGTCCTTGGTGCTCTTTGCCAATTGGGTTTCCTGCTTCGTATTCACAAACTTAGTTTCTTTTTTTGACTTTGTTGAAATTTTACTGAATTTGTTGAAATTGTTGTGTTGACTTTTTGACTGCCCCCTTTCCTATTTACCAAGATCCCCTGAGCATGCTGGCAGCTTCTCCCACTTGATGTTGTCTGCAGATCTCGTACATCTGCTCATTAATCTTCACTCAAATAGCCATTAACTGGTCCAAGGCAAAACTACCTGAAAACCCTTCCCATATGACAAATAAAGCTCTTCAGACCTTTCAGAGTAATTTCCAGCCTTTTTATGATTGTGTCTGTAGTGCTCTCCTTAGCTTGCATATAAGACTGTCAAATACACACTTGGAGTCAAGAGCAGTGCAAGTACATTCCTTCTTTCCTAGGAATGGGAAGAGCAAAAACATCTTAAACTAATCTTGGGTGTGGATATCAGCAGATTTACTAAAAGCTTTTATGCTTAGCCTGAAGAGTTCTGCAGAGCAGCGAAGTGGTTGGGAGCGGGAGGTTATGGGTTACGTATTTTGCAAGTATTTATTTTCTTTTTATAACTGGTTTTCACTGTTGGAATTTGAAAGCCCTTTGGCAATTTAGATTATAGCAGGGTACTGCTAGATAGTATTTTGGAATGAAGAAACCCTCTGTATTGATTTCTGCTTATCAAGTTTCTTTTCTTGGTTTTTGTTATGCTACTAAAATATCTTTCACAATGTGATATATACTTTAAATTTAATAATAATAAAGAATAAATTTACTTTTATTGACATTTTGTATATTGGTTCAGGCATGGTCAAAATAGAGGTATCTTGTTTCATTTTGCTGTGGTTCTGCTTGTTTTCTAAAAGACTTTACTGCCCTTCTACACTCTCTAATGTAGAAGAAAAAAATTAGATATCTAACAAAAGAGTGGACAAGGAAAGACGAGGATTAATTATTATTAGAGAAAGTTGTCTTTTCATAACTTTAAGCTGTTGTATCTTAAAGTATTTGACAAAAAACAAAGCTTCAGACATTATCGATTGTAGACCATCGTCTGATTGAAGACTGGATGTTGTTTGTGTACCTTGTTCTTACACTCAGATTTATAATAAAAGCACTATTTACATTGGAGAGCACACATTCTTACATCCTGTGTGCCAAATTTGTAAAAGAATCAGTTGGTATTGTGCAAAGGCATATTGTTATATTGTCTTTTATTTATTGTTCCCAATTAAGAAATGTTGGCCTAATCTGCCTGAAGTTCCCCAAGTCTTGTGCAAGGGAATAGAATTCAGTCCCTAATGTGGGCCCCAGGACAGAAATGTTTTACATATGCTTCGCGGTACGGGCCCAGGATATGAACTTTGTTTAGTAAGCTCAGTCTTTAAGCCAGCACTGAGCTGTAAATCAGTCTGATAAAGCCATAAGAAGTAAGAGGGTTCCCACGGCAGCCCATCATTCAGTGTTTTTCAGGCAAGACTGGGAATCCAGTTTTAACTTTTCATTTGGCAATGTGGTGAAGGGTGATTCTACCAATAGCCAGAGATGACTTTCCTCATGCATATGCTTGACCCTTTGTCACTGTTACAAAAATTTGACCTCCATCCAGCTAAAAATACTGGATGCCACTCATACCTTCCTGCT